GGAGAATGGCATGAACGGCAGGAGGCAAGCTTGCAGTGAGCTAAGATACAGCGGCTCGTGCAGCTGGGGCGCGAGCCTGGGAGACAGTGAGTGGACTGCCATGTGGGTCAAAGAAAAACACACACCACAAAATAAGAAAAATTACCAGCGCAATGGCCGGGCATGGGGTGGCTCGAGCCTGTAATCCTAAGGCCAGGTTGGTGGGAGACTGAGGGGCGGGTGGATCAGGTCTTCCGGTGAATCACACGATGTTGATTTTTCAGCTATAGCTGATGACTCACAAGAACCAGGATGTAAAAGAAAACTCAATTGTTATTAGTCACCGACAGCTTGAGTGGAGTCACCTGCTGTTTCCATGCATGTTTCTACATACACCTTGGGTCAGCCTCCGTGCTGGACGTTACCTAGGAGGTGGTGCAGCTCCCCAAGGGTGGTCTACACAGGCTGAGGGCAAAAGGCCCAGCGGGCCCTCTGGGGTCCCTGCTGTGGATGCTGTCCCAGCATTAATATCCACCCAACCAACTGGGTAAACACCAGGATTTTACAAGCACACTTCAAAAAAACTGCTTTGCAAAATGCTCCTCTGTTGATACTTAAAAGTTGAAAAAAACAATTATTCTTAAAAGTTACCAAACATTCTTCATCCAGTAACTCCAGAATTCCCATTTTTGCTTCAATCAGATCAATAACCGGTTGATTGTCATAGAAATCTATCAGCGTCCAAGGGATATCTTCCTTCATGTATTCTTCTTGTTCCAGTTTGAAGACATGCTGGGAATCCAAAGTTAATACAGAAAGTAAAACAGAATATTAAAGTGTGTTTCCAAAGAGCAGGACGTAAGCATTTGGGAAACATAAATGGTTGATCTGTAATATTTATGTTTAAACAGGAAGACCCTGAAGTATAGACAAGGCCCACATTATGATCAATACCACTGAGTTCCTAAAGCGGGTCTAGCTGTCATCCTCCCACCTCGTCTGAGTGGGTCTCCACCTCCCAGGACATGGCCTGGGCCAGCCTGTGTCACCACCAGCACCACATGGTACTCAGTGTGGTCCTACAGCCCCTTCCTGCTAGGAGCTATTAAAGGACAGATCCAGCCTCTTTGGCCTAATGCAGCCTGGCTGGGTGGAGCCAACTACCTGAGAATGCTAGTTGCCGGGCCAGTGAGAGAAGCCCACTGCTTAGAGATCTTTGTGCACTACTTATTTGGGCTGTAGGGGTATCCGGGAGGCTTCCAGAGGATGTACTCAGGCCTACCATGGAGGATGAAAGAAAGTTGGGCTGGTAGGTAGTGAGGTGTGGTGAGGTGGGGTGGGGTGGGTGGGGCATCAAGAACAAAAGCCTCCCATGGAGGAATCCCAGTGGGAACCGCACAAAAGCTCAATGGGTGCTTGAGAAATGCACCTCAAGCAGGTTAGAAAGTACAGGAGGACAGCAGGCAATGTGGTGGCAAAGAATGGTAGACTCAGATCACCCGAGACCTTCACACCCTCCCTAGAGAATTCTGGGCCTATGGCCTTTCTCTAGGAGCAGTGAGGATCCACTGGAGGGTGGAGGGATTATGACGAGACCTGAAGGATGGCTCAGAGGAGGGAAGGACCGGGGGCAATGAGACCAGTGAGGTCTCAGCCCGATGCTCTTGGTGGCTGCGACTTGGGGAGGAGGATGAGGAGGGAAGAGGTCCAGATGAACGTCAGGCTCAGGACACGGGGTCCACAGCATGACTTGACCACAGAAAGTCACGTGGAGGGTAAGTGGGCTGAGGGGAGAAGGTGGCACCTGCACTTCTACACCTGCTACTGCTGAGCTCCCTGCGGGCATCAGGTGCAAGGCCCAGTGGCAGCCAGATGAGGGAGACCGGAGATCAGGAGAGTCCTAACCAAAGCTTCCTGTGCCGACAACTGAAGGAGGGTACTACCCCTCCTGGGAGGATCTACAGATGGACGGACGACTCAGAAAAAGGAGAAGAGGAAAAAGGAAGAGAAGGAGGAGGAAGTGGATGAGGAGGAAGAACAGGAGGGGATAACAAAAGCAAAAACAAAAAACAGAATTGCAGCCTCTGATTTGTGATTTTTGGCAAGACATCTGCCATCAGTGTCACTTTGAGGGTAAGGTGGACATGCTGGGGAGCAGCACGCCACTGCAGCCAGGGGACAGGGTAGCAGCCACAGAGAGTTGGACTTCAGGTGAGTTATACTGAATATGCACTTGGAATAAACCTCAGCTGTAGTTATTAATGTTAAATTTCCAGGAAAGCCTTGCAAATGTTAAAGAAATAGAAATTTACAATGGAATGAAATTTAATGGTTATACATGAATTAATTCTGGGCAAAAAAAAAAAAGAAACTTCTGAGTAGGATTCAATGTTAGGTCTTCTCACAACATTAGACAGCTATTATTGACTCTTTTAAAATTGATATATAATAGTTGTACATAGTTTTGTGGTACATGTGGTATTTTGACACATGCATACAATGTGTAATGACGACTCATTTTTAAAACAAGGAAACAGAGGCTTAGAGAGCCCCAGGTCCCAGAGGGAGGTAGAGCTGAGACTCAAACCCAATTTAGTTTGAGCCAAAGCCCAAGCTCTCCAAGACTTTTCCTCAGGGGTTCTGAGGGAGAATAAGACTAAACACTAACAAAAGTATAACCTTTCCATGGAGTAACGGTTAGGGTATTAATACATGATTTCTATTATGAACTGGAATCAAAATTCTTGCCATGAACATGTAGCCAAAGTTTAGGATGTAGGCTAAAAGGAAAATGTGAGTTAGTAAAGCATTTTCACTTTCATGGCTTTTCAGAAACAGAGCCAAATAGAAATGTGAAGGAGGCAACTACTTAAAAAAATATGAGAGTAGTTTCATGGTAGAGCCAATGTAGAAGGACGTCCAATCAACTTTTAACTTCATCGATTTCTGTTAGGAGCAGAAAGGCATCAGTACTGTTGGGAGTTCAAAAGTGAATTCACTAAAGTTCTTGCATCTAGGGAACTGATTTAAGAGGTCGAAATTGTATTCAACACACATAGCAATAATAAATGCCAAAACGGCCACAAGTAGCATTTAGTCAACATTTTTAAAATTGTCTTATTCATCTTTCTATCTCAGCACTTAACTTGGTACCTGGTATACACAATATGCACTCAAAAATGTCTTTTGAATAAACAAATCTTCCTAGTGGGGAAAAAAATTGGAATCCATCTCCTGTCTGTTTCCATGGGAGGATACATTTCATCTTATCAGTAGTTACGAAGGTACCATATATGTCTTGTTCTAAATTAAGGCTGGAGAAACTCATTCCCATAATCCATTGGCCATCTGCTGTTTAGTGCTGCATGCGCCGAGATAAGCACTGGGCTGAGAGAGACAAAGAATGCCAGTCCTGGACTCTCCAGGTGACTAAGTCTATTTGGAGACTTGCATGCAAATGATGATAATCCCATGTGACGGGCCTGTGACAAGGAAGCACATAGGAGGAGGCCAGGAGATATCGCGGAAGGCTCTCAGGGGAGCTGGATCTCAAAACACAAGCTGGAGTTGGCCAGGTGAAGATAAAGCAATGGGGAAAAAACAGGAGCAGGTGGGTTAAGGCAGAGAAAGCAGCAAATGCAAAGACAGAGAGGCTCGAAAGAAAGTGGAGGCCTCAGGCAACCAACTAAATAGTTTTGCCTGGCTGCACAGAGGGTCTGTATCCAAGAGGCGCAGTAAGGCTCACACATTGGCAGGTGATTCAAAAAAGAGCAAATAGATGAGAGGGTGTGATTTCAAGATTTGGCCACAAGGTGGTGCAGTAACCCAGCGTGAGGCTCCTTGCATAAAAATTTGAAACCTGAAGAAGAATGCCTCTTTCCATGATCACACACACACACACAGAGACACACAGACACACAGACACACACATACACACGGCTGAGAACTAGTCAAGAAGGCAGAAGGGTCACCTACCATGTTAAACTGTTGTTGCAGTTTTTCATTAGCGTAATTGATGCAAAATTGTTCAAAGCTGTTCACATCAAAGGTTTCAAAACTGAAATACAATTTAAACAAGTTAAAATATAACCTGAAGCAGGACATATGCATTTGTTTATAGATATTTTTGGACACTTAGAAGCTTAAACATTTGCTATATCTTCTACAAGTTTTAAATGCCCCTCAAAGCTTCTGGTTTTAATGATATCCTAGTAGTCAGTTTATATATAACCCTTTTCCTGGTTGTCCCCTGGAAGGAATCTGGTAGGTATAAAACACCTACCCCAAGCAAGGCATTAAAATAGGCGTGTCACGATATGGTGTAGTCTGCACAACAACAGTGATATTGGCAATTGTTATTCTGACTTTATAGGTCAAAAATAAGCCTGAGAGGTTAAGAAACTTGCCAAAGGTCACACAGCTTGTGTCAGAACTTAGCTGCGAGGCTGCCTGACTGTGATGCCTGTGCCTTCAGTGAGAAGGCAATGTGGTTTCCTATTCTCCTTTCCTTGTCTGTTGAGGGCAGGAGCGGCACAATTGCGGCACAATTTTGCCTCCCGAAGGGGTGCTTTCAGAGTTCCTGGAGGAAAAGGACCAAGTCATTTCATATCCTACAGCCCAGCACACTCCGTCAGGGACGAGATAGACACGGCTGGCTTCCATGTTCAGACTTTCACCAGTTGCCTCTGCAGTTGCTTTGAAGTTGCAAGCTCAAGAACTGAGAGGAGCCCTTGGGGACAGGCCTGGGAAGCAGACTAGATACGGCACAACAGTGAGCCGTGCGGCGGCTGGAGAGCCATCAGGATTGTCCAAGGGGCAGCTGCTACTCAGCTCCTGCCAGCCGTAGCCATGGACGAATGTGGGCCAGGATGTTAGATTCACTGGTTCTCAAGAAAAGGCATAAAACTGGGACTTTTAAGTGAGTAATCCCACTCTGCAAAACATGCTGTGGGCGGAACAAAACAGAGGCGCCAAATTTAGCACCTGGCCAGATGCGCTCCTGCTGGAAGGCAGCTTGCTGAGCGCTTTAAGGTGTCAGCATTTATGCATGTCACCTCCCTTAACACTAACACAGCCCTATGTGAAGGGCTCCTGTGGCTCCACTGTCATACGAGGGTCAGAGAAGGAGTGACCATGGTGAGGACCAACAGCCAGCAAGTGGTGCCAGAAATGCAATTCCACCCCAGTGCTTGGTGCCTCTAAAGCTTTGTTCTTAATCACCCTAATCCTGAGAGGTTCCTGCCAGCTCCTACCACGGGTTCCCTGGGAGTCTCACTTGACTGAGCTGGTTTGGCTCAATCTGGAATTCCTGGGCAGGGTAAGAACCTGGACTGTCCTCTAGGCAGCTCCAGGGTGACGCATAGCAGCTCGAACGGCCCCATTCCACACGCAGCCTTGGTGGCTCAGAGATTTGGGGGCTGGTCTGCTCATGGAAGCAAGGCCAGGGCTGGGCCTAGGGGAGATTCAAAAGGGTCTCACTGCGCTCTGCAGCTCACAGCTGGGGCCAAGGGCAGGGCTTTCTAGAACCTGGCAAAATGTCAAATATCAATGCATTATTTGGGGGCACAAAGAACTGAAGTTTAGGACCTATGGAAAGACCTAGATCTGTGACTTAAAATGCTAAAGGCACGTTGACTATGGTAACACTTCACACTGGATCCATGCTTATGGTTTTCAAGGTACCTGCATACCTTCCATCTTGTCTTCAAAATCACCCTGCAAGAGAGGCCCCATCTTGTAGATGCAGAAACTGAGGCTTGGAGAGGTTCTGTGACTTTCTTGGGGTCACGTAACTGGCATGCTATGGAGCTCACTCCGAGGGTTCTGACCCCCAGACCCAGGCTTTTCCAACTCTGGGTCCAAAGAACATAACACACGACAGGCCGGGGAGTCACCAGCCTTCGTCCGCTCTCAGCTTAGACCTGGAAGCTCATAGCCTCAGCTTTACTTGCTTTCAAAGATGCTAACTGTTCCTTTGAAGCTTCCTTATTTCCCAGTCAAAATGAGCTTTCTCAAAAGTTGCAGGTACGCCTGGGCGAGGGTTAGCCTAGAAGTGAGGCTGCTGGAGGGGGCGGGAAGGGCTTGGCCCCGGGCTGCAGCCCTGCTGCCTAGAGGAAAACTGATTTTTTGGAGGCGTCTCATGAACTCAAGGGTGGCAGCAAAGAGGCTGTTGTTAGAATATCTGAGAGGAATCTTAAAATAATTTATTCTAACAAGTCTTTGAGAATTTATAAATACTCATCTCAGGTTTTTCCACATAGCTGAAAAATTCAGATTCCTTATTACAGTGGTCCTGGATCCTGCCTGGGGGCCAACATCCAGCTTGCTACTCCTTGCACACGGCCGCCCCTGCTCTGTCCCCACCCCCTGCTAACCTCCAGCACACCTTCCTCCCTTCCCAGGACTCATCCCAACCTCTACTGCCGGCCTGCCACCCTCACCAGTCTTGGTCCTACGGCGGCAAGAGCCGTATGTCTGTGCTGTTCAACCATTGCCTCCAACACAGTGCCTGGGATATAAATATCTGTTAGATAAAAATATGAAATAATGGCCAGGCGTGGTGGCTCACGCCTGTAATCGCAGCACTTTGGGAGGCCGAGGTGGACAGGTCGCAAGGTCAGGAGATTGAGACCATCCTGGCTAATACTGTGAAACGCCATAGCTACTAAAAATACAAAAAATTAGCCAGGCGTGGTGGCAGGTGCCTGTAGTCCCAACTACCGGGGAGGCTGAGGCAGGAGAATCGCTTGAACCTGGGAGGATGAGGTTGCAGTGAGCTGAGATGGTGCCACTGCACTCCAGCCTAGGCGACAGAGCAAGACTCTGTCTCAAAAAAAAAAAAAAGAAATATACTCTTAAAATAAAGGACTGCTATTTAAAAATACATTTTTAAAACGCCCAAAAGAACAGGGAATAACAGAACAATTACATATTTCCACCACAGTGAAACAGGACTATTTTTAATGAGGACTATCCATTTTTAAAAGTTCACTTAAGCTTTTACTAGCTGCTCAAACACTTTCTTGGAACAAGACAAGGTAAATAATTGACTAGACTATCCCAGTAATATATTAAGCATTTTATAACTGTTGACACGTACTATGAATTGGGAGCCATACATATTAACGTAGAATCTAAATTAAACAAAGCAACTCCCTTGAGGCACTGTCTCCCATTTGACAGCTATGGGAAAAGCTGCCTCTCCACCTGGGTGCAAGTCCAACAGCGTGGTGTGGCCCTGTCCCCTCCTCCCCAGGAGGCAGCAGCAGGGCCAGGAAGGCCAGGGCTCGGCTCTCCCCTTTGCATGGGCAATGGGGTTGAGCTGCTTTTTGCCAGGGTGTGGGGGAAGATCCCCCAATCCCGGTGGAACACTCCACGATGCCTTTCACAGGTCAATCTTCCCCCTTCTCCTGCTAAGAAACCGGGGTGGGTCCCAGGAGAGGGGCAAGGGCTGGGCACTGGGGCCAGCTGCTGAGAAAAGCCTGAGGGATAACAACCTCTGCGGAGCCCTCCATGCCAGCTTCCACTCTGGTTACTCCCCAGCAGTTTCAGCAGGAGCTGGGCCTGGGGTTTAGAGGAGGACCAGGTAGAGACAATGAAAAAGAACCCAATTCCAGGATGGGATGAAGGGTAAGACCTCCGGGAGGAGGGCTGGGGAAAATCCAAGACCTTCTCACCCGAGAACGGAAAATGATTGGGGTTGGGGGTGGCTGATCAGAGACCTGGGTTCAGTCCACCTCTGGCCGCTGGGCTTGGGCAAGATGCAGGCCTAGGTGACTTGTCGTCCCCTGTGATTTGAATGGGAAGGGACCCCGGGGCTCCACACCACAGGGGCCTTTGGTGGGAAAAGCAGAAGCAGGAGCCTCACAACTGTGCTGGCTTTTCCCACCAGTGGAGCAACTGTGACCAAGTTATTGAGAGTCTTTCTAAGCCTTGGTTGTTGCAGCTCTAAAATGGGGATAGTTATGAGGTTGCTTAAGAATGAAGTGAGAAAGCTCAGGGAAGTCAGGCAGCCTCAGAGCTGGCACACGGTAAGCTCTTAACGCCAGTCATTACTAATTCAGCATCTCTTTAATGCACTTTAAATAAACGGCACCATAGCCCAGTAGAGCGTACTTAGCATCTATAGGGGCAAAAGCAGAGAGTGTTATCTTTCTAATCATGTGCAATACAAAGGAACCAGAACAAAATAATCTAAAAACCACATGGTTCTCAACATGTAAAGGAGGAAAGACAGGCTCACTGAAGAGAATCTTACCCATAAATGTCCAAAACACCAATAAAAGTGTGCTGCTTGCCTGAAAACTGCAACGCTTGGTTAATTCTCTCCACAATGAAGTCGAACAGGTGGGCATAGATCTTTTTGGCCAGTGCATCCCTGGCGTTGACAGCCTGAGGCCTGGTCATGGGTTTTACCACCGTCTCAGAGCTTGTGACGATTTTGCGATTGCACAGCCACTGAGCAACTCTGCCACTCTCCAGGCCCAGGAGCTCACAGAACACCTTCAGGTGACTGTCATCCTCCTTCAAAAACAAGCACAAGCCCCGTCAGGTGGCCCAGCCATCCAAAGCCACACAAACCCACCCGGCCCAGGCCCCTGTGCCCACACTCAGGCCTGTGCAAGAGCTGACTAGTAGCTGGCACAAGGATGTCCAGGCCTCAGGAGGTGGAGACAGACCTGGGAGTAGAGCAAGAGGGCTGCACCGGCACGGGTCCTGCACCTGGCCCTTGGAGGACCACCCCTGCAGCAATGCCGGGGAGTCCAGGGCTGCATCTCACACTGATTTTTCATGTTAACCAAAGAATGTCCGTGGTGACTAAGGCCATGGAGGCCATCCTCCCTAGACCCCGCCCTGTTCCTGTGGATGTGGATGCAGCCCTCTCTCTTCCCTTTGTACCATCCTGGGCCACTTGTCAAGAGTGTGCACTCACCCTGCCCCACCTCGTGTGGCCAGGGGTTTGCCTGGATGATGGCCCAGGAGGTACCTGGGTGTTGCTGCCAGGCAGAAACTGGTGCGGTTCCCGTGGCTGAGCTAGTGCCTCAGCTGACATGAGGCCTGGGGTGGGACTTTTCCTGCATGCACAAAGTGAAATCTTGCTTCTCCCCCAAGCCCGGGCATGAGAGCTGCCCCGCTGGTTAGCAGATGAAAAGAGGGAAGAGGTGCTCCCATTTCCCTTCAGCCGGTGTGGACAAAGGGCTCCTGTCCTCAGGCGAGGATGTGACTCCCAGCTCCTCTCTCAGTCAGGAAACCTCCCAAGGCAGGCTCCCCTGCGGGCACCATTCCAGCCCACCAGGACACCCACATGATTGCACTAAAAAGCCTCAGGACACAGTGGAGGAAGCCATGGAAACAGCCCTGCCCCTCCCTGCGCTCTACCCACACCCCTGCAGACCAGCATCACAGTAACACAGAGCTGGCTTTGACGTGCCTGACCTCATAAGGGAGGGGACTGGCAGAGGCATTTGGTTTCCTTCCTTCTAAGAACGAACGAAACCTTCTGAGTCAAAAACAATTCAGCTGCAGGTGCTGCTATGGGAAAAAAATGCAAAGGGCAGCAGCTTTTCAGAAAGTCAGACGGCTTTGTCCAAATTTAACGTGTCCAACGTTTCAAGTTCCTGATACAAATGGGTGGACATGGATCCCAAATCTAGGACCAATAATTACAGGACTGGGAATTTTCCACAGATATTCTTAGAACACAGAAAGGATTTTCTGCCAGTCAATGTTAATTCCTCCTCCAAAATGCTACCTTCACAACAAGCTTCACGGGAGAGGGCTCAGTGTGGTGGCATTTGTTGGGCAGAAATCACATTTTTAGTCTTTGGGGGTTTAGGGGAAAAAGGGCAGAAGCCCAGCTACTCTGAGGTAACTGAGCAAAGAAACAGAGGGACCTGCCACTTCAGACACACCAGACTCTCCCCCAGGCCTCTGGTCACTTCTCTCCCTGCTTTCCCACTTGGGGAACTGACTCATTCTGGGAGGTCTGCACACCGCGGGGGGATGGGAGGGGTGCTGAGGTGAAAGCTGGAGGAGAAGAAGGAGAACTACTTCCTGGTCATGGCAACAGGCCTAAAACGCGGAGCCCAGGAGCTCATGCTCCACTCAGCTCTGCCCTCTCCCCAAACCGTTGGTAGCAGACAGCCTAGAACTCACCGGGTACACAAAATGATCAACTATTCCCATCAGTTATTTGAGGAACATGAAAATAGACATGGTTACGGACTGAATATTTGTGTCCCTCCAAAACTCAGATGTTGAAGTCCTAACCCCCAACGTGACAGTATTTGGAGATGGGGCCTTTGGGAGGTAATCAGGGTTGGCGAAAGTCGAGAGGGTGAGGCCTGCCATGATGGGATTAGTGTTCTCGTAAGAGGCATCACAGTGTCTGCTCTCTCTCCACCATGAGGACGTAATGAGAAGGTGGCTGTCTAGGAGCCAGGAAGTCCTCACCAGAACCGAGCAGGCTGACACTCTGCTCTCAGACTTCCAGCCTCTAGAACTGTGAGAAAACAAATGTCTATTGTTGAAGCCAGTCAGCCTGTGGCGTTTCGATATGGCATTCTGAGTTGACTAGGACAGACATGTCACTGTTAATGCAAAGCTTTAAAGGTAGGCAGATTCTGTGTTTCATAGAAATATTTTTTACTTGTGTTTGTTTTCTTCTTTACATGGACATTGATGAGACTAATTAAACACATACCCCTCCCCCAAGAATCACTACTCATAGTATGTGTCATAGAAGAAACACACATTAAATTAACTTGTGTCCATTAAAGAAATCTATCACAAAACTTAAAACACATTCCCAGGAAGCCAGCACCACTGACGTCTGAGTCAAGCAGGTGTAAGGAGGTAGTGAGTGTCCTTCTGCTGAAAACTACCCGGCGTCCTTAAGGTCCTACGTGGTCTGCCATCCCCCTTCTCCCTCTGGTCTCATCCACACCCTCCTTGTCATTCACCCTCTGGATACATGGACCTTCCTGCTGTATCTCAAATGACATCTTCTGCCTGGGAGTTTCCGCACTTGCTGTTCTTCCCCCATCCACAGGTACAACCTGCTTCTTCATCCCCTTCAGGCCGCTGCCCACCACCGCCTTCCCGGAAAGGCTTTCTCTGACCACCCCACATGAAAGGCACGGCCCCTCCGCATGCCCCCTCTGCTTTACTTTCCTCTGTGCCAGCCGTCACCAGCTGCCGGAGATCACATTTGCTTGCTGTGTCTCCTCCCTACCCCTGATCATAAGCTCTCTGAAGGGCTTCTTGCTTTGTGTCATTCACTGCTGTTTCCCCAGATGCTATGACTGTCCGTGGCACTTAGTAGGTGCTGCATACGGACTTGTTGAATAAAAGAAAAACACACAGAAGACACATTTCCCCTCCTCTACTGTTGCAAGGGGAGGAGGCTTTACTCCTTGAAGGCAGCCCCTGAAAAACCCTTGCTGCCTGCTTCCTGCTAAACCAGTCTACCCAGGAGGCCGTCTATGCCTGCTGCTAAAAAGCAAAGGCAGGCCAGCTGCGAACCGGTTCCACTATGACCCTCGGACAAAGGAAAAGTAAAACAAATGAGCATCTCACACTAACTGAGGACCTCTCGTTGCCCACCGCGGTGATCTGCACGTTGCCCAGATGTAGGATGGCTGCCAGGATTTTAAAAACGTCCATCTGAAAATCCTCCTTGAAACCTGAAAACAAACATTTTCCCAGATTAGGAATACTGCATCTCTTCTCTGACTAGTAAGATGGGCACCTGGATTCATTCGAGATATGCAGGTCGCATCAGTGCCAAGCTCTGGGACAGGAACGTGAAGTGGACCCAGGGGCCTCTGGTGCACTATTCCTTCTAGTCGACCTCTGTAGACACACGTCATATGTGTCTATACACAGGTTTTCCCTGTGCCATGCCTGCTAGGAAGTTCAACACAAAAATTAATACGCGAGTAACCGTTTTACTTCAGGTTCCTCAGAGAGTCGTCCTGCCTTGATTCTGTGCTTGATTTTGAACGTTTTTCACTTTTCTTTTTGCTCACAAGCTCTCTGAATCCGTGAATTATTTTCTAGGTGGGATTGCTGGAGGGATGCCGTTTGCCCCTCCAGATCGTCTGCTCTCTGCCCCAGGGGACTTGGTATAAACCAAGGCGATGGCCTTTCATGCCCTCTGGCCTTCGGTTGGGCTTGATTCATGGGGCGCCCCGGCAGGAGAACAGAGAGAGGAGCGGAGAAGGTTCTGAGTGCGTCCTCCCCAGCCGCTGTCCCTGTGAAGCTGCCTCCAGCTGGCTGCGTGGCCCGACTGACAGGAGGTCACTACTCCTCTGGGGCTGACTTTACCCAACTCTCCTTCTAGGCTCCAGAAACCCAGAAACACTTGGATGCCCACATGGGAAAGAGCAGTGAACAGTTCTGCTGCTGCCCCCAGGTGCCCACTGCCCCTTGTATTAGTAGATCCCCTAGACTCCACTCACAACTTTGTAGTTGTAAATAATAAATAATCCCTCTTGTATCCTATTGTGAGCCTGCCCCATGTTTCCCATTGGGACTTTGATTGCAGTAAGTAGAATATAAATTATAACTACATACCATATTCAGTCACCATGAAGACATTAGCACATTTCCTGGAGCCAATAAGAAAGCAAACCAGCTGCTAGAAAGGACTGTGTGTTCAAACCCTGCAAATCACAGTGTAGACCTGCACGCTGTGAGCCCGGTGATGCCAGGTCGGGATCCCCCCAGTGTGTGTTAATGACACTGTGGTGACCTGAGGAGCTGAGAGATGCGCGCGGGCTGGCAGGCAGGCTCATTCACACCAGCCAGGCTGCGTGGTTCACCCTGGAATGGACACCGGAATGGAAGCCAGTGACCCCTCATTTGAGGATACCTGGAGTTTTCATTAGCAGGTAGGTCATGTTCTTTAACAATTTCAAAACCTACTTTTTTTTTTTTTTTTTTTTTTAGACCAGGTCTCACTCTGTTGTCCAGCCTGGAGTGCAGTGGCATGATCATGGCTCACTGCAGCCTTGACCTCCTAGGCTCAAGTAATCCTCCCACCTCCGCCACCTGAGTACCTGGGACTACAAATGTGTGCCACCACACCCAGCTAACTTTGTGTAGAGATGGGGTTTCGCCATGTTGTCTAGGTTGGTCTTGAATGCCTGGGCTCAAGTGGTCCACCCTCCTCGGCCTCCCAAAGTGCTGGGATTATAGGCATGAGCCACTGCACCTGGCCCAGAGTCTCCTGTACTACAAAGATTAAATAAAATCAGTCTCAAAAGCTTTCAATCCAAGAACACAGGCAAGACTCCAGCTCCAGCTGAGTCCAGGCACTTGCTGCCTTTCCATTTGGAGGTAACTCCTCCATCTGAAGGACAGATGTGTCCAACAGAAACATACCCCTAGGCCTCTGCCACAGTAATGACAGGCAAGTGACCACGAGCAGCAACTAAAAACGCCAGGTGCAGGAGCCTCCATCCTGGCACTCCTCCCTGCTTTCTGTGATCCATAACTAAATCCCTCAACTACTCCAGGCCTCCCAGAAACGCAAAAGGGAGATGACAACTCCAAAGCAGTAATATGAAAGAAAGAATTCAAGACCTGTGTTAAGTAATCACCCTTAGTGAGCCTGTCACACAAAAGCAATGCCAGCCTGAATCAGATTTCCAGGGGGAGCTCACTGGTCAAGTTCCTAGCGCCTGAGGTCCCGGAGACAGCCTGATTCCAAGGTGTTCGTCCCATCAGAGAGCAAGGGGCATAGCAACACTCAAATGGCAGGGATCAGTGGATGAATCACGTGAGAAAGACACAGCAGAAGAGCAGAGGAGAGGGACTTTTTAATCAAAATGCATCCTCTCGCGCTTCTCCAGGGGTAATCTCAATGCCAGCTGAGGGACCTCAGCAGCAGAAGCGAGGGGAAGGCGAACGGAACACCGCCTCAGGCACTGTCCTCGGTATTTTCCACCCATCAGCTCCTCTCATGCTCACTGCAACCACAGGAAGGAATCCTAGTATTGTTCCCATCTCACAGAAGAGGAAACTAAGGCACAGGAAGGTTAGGGAACTCACCCGAGGTCACACTGAGTAAGGCATATCTAAGCAGTTTAACGTCAGTGCCCACCACAGTATGAGAAAAGACCCACAGCATTCATGAGCCATCTAGCTTCACCCTAGCGTGTCTAAACAGAGAAGTCCCTGATGACCTCGTGCAAGGTGAAGGAAAAGTGTGAGCAGGGTCGCTTGCTGAGGTATCCTCATTTGAAGGCAGAGGTGCAGGCAACAGGTGCAGTGGCCCCAACCTCTTACCACCTGCCCACTTCACACAGCACAGCAGGCGGCCATCACCATTAACGCTGTGAGAGGACACAGTACTCCACCTCTCTACAAAACTCCAGAGGGCTTTGTCTAAAACATCTAGGTCTGTGCACAGGCTAAGTGGCCAGGGCCAACCCCGCACATGCGGGGTCCTGAGGGTGAGTGCCTCTCTCGCCTTGTCCCAGTCTTGGCCCTGGGACTGAGGAATGTGATATGGAAATCTGTAAACATAACCTAAGTTGTGTGATACACGGGGGCAAATGGCTGCAAATTGCTGATCTCCAAAAATTAGAAAAGGTTTCATGGAAGAAGAGACGGTTTTACTCAGAGTATGGTGAGGGTTTGGACAACTGGGAATGTAGAGAGCTAGAAGGCAGGGAGTAGCAGTTACCACGCACCAGCTACGTGCTTGGCCTGGTGCTGGGGACTTTTACATATACTTCCTCGCCAGTTGTCATGAAAGGTAAGGTATGCTGCCACTCACAGATCGAGACACCAAGTCTTGGCTGGGCACGGTGGCTCATGCCTGTAATCCCAGCACTCTGGGAGGCAGAGGCGGGTGGATCACCTGAGGTCAGGAGCTCAAGATCGGCCTGGGCAACATGGTGAAACCCCGTCTCTACTAAAAATACAAAAATTAGCTGGGGGCGGTGGCGTGTGCCTGTAATCCCAGCTGCTCAGGAGGCTGAGGCAGGAGAATTGCTTGAGCCCCAGAGGCAGAGGTTGCAGTGAGCTGAGATTGCACCATTGCACTCCAGCCTGGGCGACAGAGCGAGGCTCCGTCTCAAAAAAAGACACCAACTCTCAGAGTGGGTGCCTTAGACTCATATCAACTAGGATTTGAATTCACGTTCATTTGATCCCAAAGCCTACTCGATTTGCCCTACATTATCTTGCTGTGAGGAGGACATGATAGAGGTGAGAGACAGTAGAAGGATCAGGGAGATGACAGTGGGCAGGGCAGGGCATATCCTTCAGCCCAGCCAGAGTTTGGCCACCTGTCCCCTCCTCACGCACCGAGCCCGCTCTCCATGGAGTAGATTATACAGAGATTGAAATGATGACTATAATTATTTTCAGAAAATGTGAATCAGTGCCAAAAGTGTTTATCTTATTATTACAAAATGTTCAAATTGCCCTTCTCCTTGAAGCAGGTTTGAGGGAACAGAGTCTGATGGTGATTTTGCTTAGAAAACCATCTTGTTTTCACTTTCCATTATCCAGCTGTGATCGTCTTACCTATTCCTTCGATATATTTAACCTGAAATTCTTAGCCTTTTACATTCAGATACAGTCAAGTAGGCCACAAGAATGAAAGCACTTAGAATGAATTGGTGGGAGATTTCAGCAAGAGAGATTTCAGCAAGACGTAGAAATGGCTGGCTGGGCGCGGTGGCTCACACCTGTAATCCCAGCACTCTGGGAAGCCGAGGCAGATGGATCACGAGGTCAGGAGCTCTAGACCATCTTGGCCAACACGGTGAAACCCCGTCTCTACTAAAATACAAAAAATTACCCAGGCATGGTGGTGCGTGCCTGTTATCCAAGCTACTTGGGAAGCTAAGGCAGGGGAATTGCTTGAACCCAGGAGGCAGAGGTCGTGCCACTGTACTCCAGCCTGGTGACAGAGCAATATTCCATCTCAAAAAAAAAAAAGAAGAGAGAAAGAAAGAAATGGCCAACGGCCTCACCCTGATCAAAAGCTTTGACTGGCAGCTTCATGTGGATGTCTAGACTCATATAGAATGGGAGAGCGAGTGCCTGTTTCTGTAAACACCATCTGGTAGACAGCCTTTCTGAACATGAGCTCTGTGTGGGAAAAGTAAGGCGAGAAGGACTGGGACCAACTGGCTGTGCTGTGAGAGTCGTGCCTGCTCCACCTGTGCCAGCATCTGAGCAACAGAAGATGGGGTTTTCTGTACAAAATGAGATGCTTGAAGACCCTGGAGTGCAAAAGCCAGTTCTACTCTGAATCCGCCGCCTAACGTTGGGTAAATCACTTCCCATCTCTGTGCCTTAGTTTCCCGCTTATAAAATGGGAGAAACAGCAGCACTGACTTCCTAGGGTGGTTGTAGGGATTGAATGAGTTCACACAGGGGTATGAAGTGCTTAGGATGGTGCCCAGCACATTGTAAGCTCCAGATAAGTGCTGTCATTACTGTCATCATCAGGAGACCTATGAAGGCCACAGAGGGCCAACGTTCCACTTCTGAACCGAATCAGACCTTGGCTTCACCAGTCATCCTTGTATTCAGCCTAGAAGAGCTTACAGCAGTCACATGGCTTGCAGCCCATGCCTCTGACAGTGAGCCAGGAAGGCTGAGGGAAAAAAAGGGTTAATTTCTAGCTCTTTTAAGGGAAAAGCAATCTTGACCACTTAGTCTCCAAATACGTTCTGATGGTTTGTCCTAAAATTAGAATTGATTAGGAGCCTTCAGAACACACATATGCTGGGAATCCCCTTTTAATTTTTTTTTTTGAGATGGAGTCTTGCTCTGTCGCCAGGCTGGAGTGCAGTGGTGTGATGTCGGCTCAATGCAACCCTCCGCCTCCTGAGTTCCAGGGATTCCTCTGCCTCAGCCTCCTAAGTAGCTGGGACTACAGATGCCCACCACCATGCCCGGATAATTTTTGTATTTTTCATAGAGACTGGTTTCACCATGTTGGCCAGAATGGTCTTGATCTCCTGACCTTGTGATCCGCGCGCCTCGGCCTCCCAAAGTGTTAGGATTACAGGCGTGAGCCACCATGCCTCGCCTTAATTTTTTTTTTAAGAGAAAATGGCTACATCCTCGGATGGGATATTTGCTCTTACCCAGTAGGGTGAAGGTCTTTTGAGTCTCTACCATTTCAGCTCGATCATTCACACCCTCAATGACAGTATTGCCTCCCATTCTCGTATAATTAAATTCTTCGGCACTCCCTGAAATCAAAAAGTAAGATTTGTTATGTCTGTAACACAGAAATTTGGACATACACATTTATCAGAAGAAGGGAAGTTCATACTTAATAAGCTGTGTCATGCACTTTACACAGTTTATTCTATTTATTCCTTAGAACTCTGCATTACAGCCAGGTGTGGAGGCTCATGCCTGTAATCCCAGTACTTTGGGAGCCTGAGGCAGGGGCTTGCTTGAACCCAGGAGTTCAAGACCAGCCTGGGCAAAAGGGCAAAACCCCAACTCTACAAAAATTTAGCTGGGCATGGTGGCACATGCCAATGGTCCCAACTATTCAGGAGGCTGACGTGGGAGGATCATTTGAGCCCAGGAGTTCGAGGCTGCAGTGAACCGTGCTGGTACCACTGCACCCCAGCCTCGGTGACCCTGTCTCAAAAAAACAAAAACAAAACAACATAAAAAGAATTCTACATTACAGACGCAGAAGCTAAGACTCAGAAAAGTGAAGTAACTTTCTCAAGTTCCCATAGCTGATGGCACGCAAGAATTTAAATGCAGGCCTAACTCTAAAGCTCATGGTTTTTGTTCCTGCACCCAACATTTTTATGTAGCTTTACTGAAGTTTACTGAATGTACAATAAACTGCATGTTTAACACGTACAATTTGATAAACTTTTGACATGCATATAGTCTTATAAAACCATTAGAACAATCAGGATGACTATACACACACACACACACACACACACACACACACACCCCTAATGTTTACATAGTAGAGGATCTTTCAGAAAGCCCTTCTGCAAGTTCGCTATTCATATTCTGTTTGGTAGACAAGGCCAAGGATATTACCTTCATGTGAAATCTGCAGAAATTTAGATTCTAAGAGCACAAGCAATTTCTCCAAAACTAGAGAGTGTGTGAGTTCAACTCCAACATACTAGAAGTTATCTCCGACAATTCTCATCTACCAGCATAGCACAAATGGCTAAGGCAGGAGAGCCATGACAGCACAGGGCTCGGGGCCTTTTGTACTGAAGGACAAACAGCCCTATGCTTTAGCCATCTCTGGAATATAATCAATTATGACTACAAATAATGAATGACCTTGAGCCATCAAATTATGATACAGGTGGTTTGTTTTAAAAAATGGGTTAACATGTCATACATGTTAGAAAAACAACTATCTATGCATGTTCAAATAAAATGGAAGGTTTGGTGACGCCATATGTTCCAGCTGTCAGGAGCTCTTAATCAGGTGGTTCTAGCTGGAGGAGCACAAACACACAATGAGCATTTTTTTTTTTTTTTTTTTGAGATGGAGTCTTGCTCTGTTGCCTAGGATGGAGTGCAGTGGTGTGATCTCGGCTCACTGCAACCTCCCTCTCCCGGGTTCAAGCAATTCTTCTGCCTCAGCCTCCCAAGTAGCTGGGGCTACAGGTGTGTGCCACCACACCCGGCTAATTTTTGTATTTTTAGTAGAGACAGGGTTTTGCCACGTTGGCCAGGCTGGTCTTGAACTCCTGACCTCAGGTGATCCACCCACCTTGGCCTCCCAAAGTGCTGGGATTACAGGTGTGAGCCACCACGCCAGGCCCAATGAGCTTTAAAAATAACCTCAGGCTTAAGAGTGCCCTCTCTCTCTAAACTCATCCCCCCAGCCCTAATCCAGCCACTTAATTAGATGCACCAATTCTGTCCTTGAAACCAAAGAATCTTATATCTTTGGGCAAATACTTAAAAAAAAAAAAAAGACATATTAGTATAAGAAGAAAGTTAACCTAGAATTTAAGCCCCCACATAAAAGAGAGACCCTTCCACACACGATCCATCACATACCCAATTTAAGATGTTTAAATTCCGACTGCTGTGCAGATGCACAAAGCTGATAGAAAATGTGGTAATTTCGTTCATTTTCCGACTGTAAGATAAAGAAATGTCCTCAAAATTACACCAAATCCTCACAAGCAAAAATGCCATGTTTTTAACTAGAGAATCTTAGCTGTCTAACCTGGATGGATAATTATCTGTCTGGGATGTGATCTGGCCAGTCCACAAGAGGCCCTTCCTCTCAACTGAGAACCGGGTGGCCTGAGATGGCCTTCCAAGTAACGAGTAACCCAGAGAAAGTGTTATTAAATGAAAATATCCTATGGAATAGGAATGACATAACTCATCCTAGTGAAATTTTTAGAAACTTCCTGCAATACAAGGTTTACTGTTGCTCTCCTCCTGGGCCAAAACGGTGAGAATTTTCTCCATTTTACTGGCAGAAAAGCCTTTCTCTTAAAACCGCCTCGATAGCTCTGATCCCATTCCCTTTCTGATAGGAAAGCCAGTCTGTCAGCTTTGTCTATTTCAAACAGTTTTTGTACTCTAGAAAGAGATACTTGCTTTTTAAACTATAAGGATTTTGTAAATCCCCCAAATTAAAAAGTCATAACCTCTTCCTACAGTCATACAACTCACCTGATACTACACCTATTCACCATCAAGTTTTAATCAACAGAAAAAAGAATCCAAACTGCAAATGAAAGATAAGAAAACCCTAGTCTTCAATTCATAGCATAGTGTAGCCTGCCTGAGTATATATAATAAGAATGTAATTGTAAATAATGCTCAAAAAGTTGGGGAAAAATTTAATACTTACTTGAAAGACAACTCTGGATTTCTCCAGGAGGTAAGTTCTCATGTTGGCTCCTATAATTTGATTTTGTTCATCAAAACTGATTTCTGTGTATTTCCCAAACCGACTACTATTGTCATTGCGGGTGGTCTTGGCATTTCCGACGGCCTAAAAAAACATACCTCTTCTGAAATAACAACATTAAAAGAGTTTTGCCTCAACGTTATTGCAGGAGTTTTTAGTCAAATGCAATTCCGTACCCGAGGGGAAGGTCTGATTGGCAGAGGGAGGTCTGGGGAAAGAAAGCAACCCCAGGCTGGCAGGGAACATGACCAGTCCCGAGCCTGCTGCTCAAACCTCTCCTCGGTCCCACTGGCAGACACTGGGGAGGACCAGAAAGAGCACAGGTTCTGATGTTTCAGGGCCCTGGGTTCTATCTTTGCTATCTGTGTAATGTCTTACAAGTTAGTTCACTGGCTAGGTGCGGTGGCTCACGCCTGTAATCCCAGCACTTCAGGAGGCTGAGGCGAGAAATTCACTTGAGGCCAGAAGTCTGAGACCAGACGAGGCAAAACAGTGAGACTCCCATCTCTACAAAACACAAAAAAATTAGCCAGGCATGGTGGCATGTGCCTGTAGTCCTAGCTACTTAGAAAGCTGAGGTGGGAGGATTGCTGGAGCCCAGGAGCTGGAGGCTGTAGTGAGCTATGATTGCAGCACTGCACTCCAGCCTGGGTAACTCAGCAAGACCCTGTCTCAAAAACAAACAAACAAAAAAGGTAGTTCATCTTTCCAGGTCTTAATCTCCCTATCTGTAATATGAGAATAATAAGCAACTTACTGTTATGGACTGAATGTTTGTGTCCTCCCAAAATCCTCATGCTGGAATCCTAACCCTATGTGTCGGTATGGTAAGGTGGGCCTTTGGGAAGTAATGATGTCACGAGGATAGAGCCCCTGGGAGTGGGATTTTAATGCCTACATAACAGGGATCCCAGACACCTCTCTTGCTCTCTTTCTGCCATGTAAGGGTACCGTGAGAAGACAGCAGGCAGGCACCTAGAAGAGAGGCCTCACCAGAACCTGACCTCTGCTAGCACCCTGATCTTGGACTTCCAGCCTCCAGAACTGTGAAAAATAAATTTCTGTTGTTTATAAGCCACCTGGTTGATGACACTAAAGTATATTATACTAAAGTATATTATACTTATTATTATAACAGCAGCCCAGACTGACCAGAACACTTACAGAATTGGGAGGATTAAATGAGAGAATATGAGGTGCCTCAACTCACTCAGGCCCCAAATGCCTATGATGCTCAATTAAAAGTTCACATCTTTCATCCAACCTTTATTCCAATCCTTACTCCTTACTGCTTCCCTACTCAAGCTTTCCACTTAACCAAAAGACTGCTCCTTCTCATCCCTCCCACTCTCTGGGCAGGATTTTTGCTTTTTACTTCTGTTCTTCAATTTCATCTCTCCTCTGCCCCCCCCACCCTCTCTTGAGCACCCTCTTTCTAGATGGACCCTGCCCAGGTCATCATGCTGCCTGTCAACATGTATTTACTGAGCACCTACTATGTGCCATGCGCTCGGTGAACCAAATAGATATAGTCCTGCCTTCGGAGTGTACAGTCTAGTGGGGGAGACAAACCCTAAATATTTACACAAAATTATCCACTGGGCATTTAACTTGCCACTGGCTCTTGATAACTTTTATTTTGGGACGGGGTCCCGCTCTGTCATCCAGGCTGGAGTGCCAGTGGTGCAATCTTGGCTCACTGCAACCTCCTGACTCAAGCAATCTACCTACCTCAGCCTCTTGAGTAGCTGGGACTACAGACATGTGCCACCATACCTGGCTAATTTTTTGTATTTTTGGTAGAGATGGGGTTTCATCATGTTGCCCAGGCTGATCTGGAACTTCTGAGTTCAAGAAATTCACCCACCTCAGCCTCCCAAAGTGCAGGATTATAGATGTGAGCCACGGCACCTAGCCTTGATAACTTTTCTATTGGTATCTTGGATTGTAATTTATGTTTCTAAGAAGGTTATGCCTCTGAACTATGAGCTTTGCAGTGTTTCTTAGTACCCCCTCCCCACTTATGTTTCTATTTAATTTTAAAATATTCTTACATTAGGTTAGAAGAATCTTAACTTGGAGATTGGGTCTCATTCTTTTCCATCACTTCCCACATTAGCTACACAGTGGCTTCAACAGAGTAGATGGTCTGATAAATATTCACTGAGGATTTTGATTTGAGAAAACAGGGAGAAGAGGTCTACGAGTCTAATGTTCTTAATTATTTGCTTTGCTTCCAAAGAAATTCAAATCAATCCTCTTCCCATTTTGCAGGGCAGCTGGAGTTGGCTTGCGGGGCCCTCCTCTGTCCCTTTTGGGTGCCCCTTCTTCCTTGAGGGCTGTCTCCTCACCCCTGGGCACTGTCACGGTTGGTCTTGCCCACTCCCTGTCCCAGTCAGCAGTGTGCTGATGAACTGGCTCTTGGGGAGGGCAGGAGGAAGAGTCTTTACATGTGGCCTTTGCCAAGGCAGAAGGTATAAATTCTCCTCCCATGACTGACGTCAAACGACCAAAGGTTTATCAATCAGCTTGCAAAACTCCTGAATATTTTAACAATCAGCTCATGAAAGCTGATGCCAGCTGGTTGGAGAACACCAGTGATTTCAGTGCACCAGTGATGTTTGGTTTTCCCCTGGGATGTAAATGTAAACAGAGGACTCCTGGAATCTGATGGTAGATTTCCAGCCCAGGAGGTATAGCAGGAGAGAGTCTTGAAAGCAGCAATTCTGCCCCCATCCCCTTCAAATCACACCAGCAAATAGGCTTCCTGGGTCTTTCCTGCCCTCACTTCTTTAGTCTTTAAAGGGTGGGAACTTGAATTAGCCAGGAGAGCACAGAACCCAACCAACCCCCATTTCCATCATCCACACACGGCCGCCTTCCACAGCGGTACGCACCTCGGTGATGGGATTGGATGCCAGGACCTTGTCCTCCACGTGAGCGTTGCTGCCAGATTTGCTGACGGTGGCGAAGTACCTCATGGCATAGCGAGCTGACACTGTCTTTCCAGCACCCGACTCTCCGCTTACAATTATGGACTGGTTTCTGTTGTTTCTAAAGCAAATAAAAGAGTTTTCAAATGTTAGTTTCTTCCCATTAAAGAGGCGATGTGTGCTAATTAAGACAAATGCGGACAAGACAAAAGAGGGAAACCTTTTCGTCACTCTACTATTTTAAAATCTCAATCAAGGCTGGGCGTGGTGGCTCACGCCTGTAATCCCAGCACTTTGGGAGGCTGAGGCGGGTGGATCATGAGGTCAGGAGATCAAGACCATCCTGGCTAACACAGTGAAACCCTGTCTCTACTAAAAATACAAAAAATTAGCGGGGCGTGGTGGTGGGCGCCTGTAGTCCCAGCTACTCGGGAGGCTGAGGCAGGAGAATGGCGTGAACCCGGGAGACGGAGCTTGCAGTGAGCCGACATTGCGCCACTGCACTCCAGCCTGGGTGACAGAGCGAGACTGTGTCTCAAAAAACAAAAAAACAAAAAAACAAAAAAACAACTCAATCAATTTCCTTCTAGATTTTTTTTTCTATCTTTCATCCAACCTTTTACTCCAATCCCTACTCCTTACTGCTTCCCTACTCAACCTTTCCACTCAACCAAAACACTGCTCCTTCCCATCCCTCCCAGTCTCTGGGCAGGATTTTTGCTTTTAAACCCTGTTCTTGAATTTCATCTCTCTTCTGCCCTCCCCACCCTCTCCTGACCACCCTCTTTCTAGATGGACCCTGTGCAGGTCATCATGCTGCCTGTCGACATGTATTTATTGAGTACCCCAAAATTACTGAGGGGCCCCAAGACCAACCCCAGGTTCAATGTCTCAGTAAGAGAACTCACAGGACTCAGCATACAGTCATCCTCACAGCTAAGACTGACTGCTGCAAGAGGATACAGAGCAAAAGCAGCAAGGGGAAAAGGCATGCGGGGCGAGGTCCAGTGGAACCTGGGTGCAAACTTCCAGGGGTCCTCTCCCAGTCGGGTCACACAGGACACGCTCAATTCCTCCAGCAAGGAATTTGACGGCACATGTGAAATGCTGGCTGCGAGGGAAGCTCATCAGAGATGCAGTGCCCACCTTCTGCCTGGCACATGCCAACATTCCAGACTCCCAGAAGGAAAGCGGGTATTCAGCATAAAGCACATTGTTTACACAAACAGCTTGAGTTTAGGTAAAATGAGCCACTTTATCAACCAAGAAATGTCAGGAACCGTCATGAAATCAGAGGCCAGCCACGGGCCACCTTGCAAGCAGGCCTCTAAAGATAGCAGCCTCAGGCCTTATGTCAACTCCTTTCTGCACATCCCACTTAAATATAAAAACATTTCAAGGACATTATTTTGAGAGCAATTATTCAAAAGATGCTTGGGAACATATGCGCTCTGTAAGCCAACATGCTCTGTTATATAATTTAGAGATTTTTAAAAATGCACTAAACTTTTCATGTCATAAGATCGTGACGGTGGAAGCTTCTAACGCGGCTCTGTGGATGTGGCACCGCTCACATGCCAGGTGCTGAGTGAATACAGATTCTCATTTAAGCTTCACGAAAATCCTACGACATAGATCTCTCTCTTACAGAGGAGTAAAATGGTGACTGTGGGTGGAGTGACTTGACCCAGAGCACAGAGCCACAGCCTCCCATGTGAATGCTGGAGAAGACTTTGGGTACACAGCCCTGGTCCAATATTTTCATTTCAGAGACAAGATGAAGACTCCGAGAAGGGGAATGACATGCTCAGTGTCCCTCAGGGCATAGAAAAGGGCTTTGGTAATCCCAGTCCTGTTCTACAGCCCTGAGGGACACTCCCTGTCTAGCATCAAATAAGGCCAACACGAGCCTGCTTTAGGCTCCGTTCTGTTACTGCAGTTACACAGACCGCCAAGGAGACACTGGCTCTTTAGGGCTGAACTGAGCACAGCCCTACAGCGCCCAAGAGCTCATCCCACTGATACCCAGACCCTAATCACCATAATACCCGGGAGACCTGCAGGGAGCCAGGGAAAAATCTCAGAACCGTGGGGGTTTTAGGGTTAGAAGGAATCTTGGTGCAGCAGAAGCTACTAATTCTCTATCCAGTATTCACTTGCATTCTCCTCTTCCTTCTTAGGGACTAGGCCCCAGTGGCCAGGCAGTGCCCCGCTGTGCATATGAAAGACTGCACATCCCAGCCTCCCTGTGTGAGTGAGGTCCTGGCGGATGAGCTGTGAGCAGAAGCGCTTTGTGGGGTTTCTGGAGAATCTCCCTAACCTGGAGGGCTGTACCCCTTCCCTTCATATGCCTTGTCACCTAGAATATGGAAGACAGAGCTGAGCACTAGCTTGTCCCTGAGGATGCCTGCCCCACCCCAGGGACAGGGAGCTGCACAGCACCGGGTCTCTGATGACTGTGAAGAAGCTCGGTCTATCCCCAGACTGCCCATTAGACGGCTATGCAGGAAAGCAGCACGTGTTCTACCTCATGTAAGCTACCATCTGCCCCCTCATTATAAGCAGCAGAACCAGGAATGGGTGCCCTCTGAGAGTCCAGCTCACGGACGAAGACATAAAGCGGAGGGAGCTCAGGAGCTGCGGCTGGGGTTATGCAGTAAAGACTTAGGTAAAGAGTCAGCAGGTCCAGGTCCTGTGCCTCGGATTTCCCATCTGTGAAAAGTGCGCAATGAAGTCAGTCGACTTCACAGGAGTGCTGTAAGACTCACGGGAGACCACTGTATGCGAAAGTTCTTTTGCAAACTGTAAAGGCAGCTACAAAGATAGGGTGGTGTTTTTATTCTCCATACTTTACAGATGAAGACACTGAAGCCAAAAGTGATGGTTATGGGAAAAATAAACTAGAGTTTAAACATCCAAGCACAAATCCCAGGATCTGCCTTTTACTTGCTGCCTAACCTCAGTTGGTTATTCCCTGAAACTGTTTACCACCTAGACATCTGCATCATGGGCTATTCTGAGGCCATCCCAGATGACATATGGGAATGTGTGTGTGGTGCCTCATTTGCAGGAGGCTTTCCATACATGTGCGCTAGTGAAACAAGAACTCCACGGGGCCCGACAAACACCTAGCAGTGAAATCAGGATAAAACTCCAAGTCTCCTGCACCTAAAACCTCCTGCAGCTAAATCCCCTGTCATCAGATTCTGCTTCCTTGAATGGGTTAAAAAAAAAAAGCTTAAACATCTCATAGCAGAGAATAAATCAACACTCCTCCAACCAAACACACTACAAGAAAAGGATCTGCTATTCCCAAACTGGTAGGACTGACTTGACTACCTTGAAGGAACAAAACCCAGGAAACTCAGTCTTGACAGGTCAGGTGCATGGAACAGTCGTTTGCTATTCATTCCAGGTAGTCGGCTCGACAAAGCACCATCTCTGGCCTATTTCTTTTAATGAGCCCAACCTAGGTATCTCCCCTCCACTGTGATGGTCTGGCAAATGCAGGGAGCATTGGCAGAGCAAGGGGAAGTCCAGCTTGGCAGGAAGCTACCTGGCCATCTGCTTGTATGCCTCTTCTGCCACAGCAAATATGTGTGGGTCCATATCGCCCATGTTCTGCCCACTGTAGGCGTGGATGATGGCATCTCCGTATATTGGCAACTGCTTGTAAGGATTCATGGCCACCAAAATGATTCCTGGGGAAAGATGTTAGATGCAGTTAAAAGATTCTTACTGCCACCTGCCTCTCCAGTTTGTTTTTTTAAGAAACCCCAGCTCTGTCACTTATTAAACCTTCTGTGTGTCTTTGGGCAAGTCACTTCATGCACTGAATTAATTCCCTGCCAGTCACCTACACCCTCCGGCTGGTCTGATGGTTGGATGACAGGACAGGTGGAAATGCTCCCAAACGGAAACATCTTTGCAGTTCACAATGTAAGTAATATCAATAATAAGTAATAAATGTATCAAATCCGATGAGAAACCCAAACACAAGCTTTGTTACATCTCTTTTTCTCGGTAGTCCAGTCTTAGTTCTTGTTGAAGACTCTCCCCACCTAGATACTTCTTTGTACAACAAACTCTGGGTGCTCGGTATAAACATAAAACAACCAGGAGGCTCCAGACAGCAAGCTTCCATTCCAGTGCCATTCCTTACTTCCTAGAATTGCTCTCCTTACCACTGTAGGTGTAAATGAGTTTGGATTCTGCAAAGCGGATCCTGAGGTTGTGGAGCACCGCGGGCTCATGGAGATAGCTGAGAGCCGTGAGGTCATTCTCGCCCACGAGGATGTCAGGATTCCGAAGTGGAGGTAGAGATTCTGGATTGACGGAATAATCCAGCTCCTATGGACAAAGATAAAAGTAAAGCTCTGGAAATAGAAGATTTTTGGCGTTCTGTTGAAGCACTGTTTTTATTTCCAGAGTCATCACTGACACTAAAAAGCAAATGTATGTATAGCAACAAGAAAATCTTCACAGCTGACTCCTGGAATGATGAAAAGTAGGAGCAGGGGACTAGCGCACTGGCTATGTGCACTGGGGCAAGTCACTCGCCCTCTCTGGGCCTCATTTCTCTCATCTGCGAAGAGGAGCTAGACCAGACCACGGGTCCTTAGAGCTACAGAGGCCTCAATAAGGGGTGCTGGGGAAGCTACATGGGCAGAGATCCAGGTGCCCCATTCCTGAATCTCCCACAGGGGCTCTACCTGTATGTGGTTTCAATGTTGAGGTCATGCAAGTTTTCGTTTGAAAACGAGATGCTGCAGCTAAAATGACACAATGACCTAAGGTCCCTTTAACTCTAAGGTTGTTGAGTCTCTGCTCAAAGTTGACACACTTGGTGGTGATAAATACCTAAAGGAGTCCGTGCAGGTGGTGGTCTCTCCGTGACAGGCCCCTGGTGCAGGTGTCTCCTGTCTGTAGTCGCCCACATGCCCGAGGGCTCACGGCTCCCCCAGCAGGGCTGTCTATTCCTATCACTCTCAGCCCTGGGCCAGGGACTCTTCCCAGGCTTGCTCCTCTTCTGCTAAATTTAACCTAGTATTCCTAAAGCGGCTGCCTTCGCAGAATGAAGGTGAGGCGAGCAGGTCCCGTGGCATCTGTGCCACAGACGACTGGGCCTTTCCAATGTCAGAGTATTCTAATTCCTACACTCCTGTTTCACTGCTGGGGGACGTGAAGCCCAACTAAAGCGACTTGAGCAGGTCACCCAGCATGCTTGTTTCTCTTCTACCTTCCCAGGCCACCGCCGCCTTCCTGGTATTCAGTCAGTATCTCTGGATTCCTTCTGATCTCTGGTCCTGGGCCAGCTCCACAAGGTGGCCCAGCTGCCCCTTAGCAAGTGCCACTGTGCAGACCCCATGCCAAGCATTCAGCATGGATTGTTTCATTTAATCCTCAAAACTGCCTTCCAGGGAGGACATGACTACCCCAACCAAGAAAGTCAACGAGACAGGTTCAGAAAGTAGGAATTTGTTGTCCAAGGTCACACAGTGAATCTGGGCCTCACTCTAAAGCCTGTGCTCTCTCACTAGCACAGTGCTTCCTTGTCGATGGCAGGGGGTTCGCTGGCTGATTGGTCTGTTCTGCGTAAAGCGAGCAGCCCAGGGCAATCCACAACTGGACACAGATCCTCAGGTCAGCTCCTGCTCCCCTGTTACCAGTGCAAGTGTATGGCGACCTAACCCCGACCAGAATATTCTCAACCTGAACACTTTTGAAAATAAAATCAGGAACAATGATTCTCATACCTACTGACTTTCCTTGTCTCTGTTTTTCTATTGTAAATCCACAACCCCCACTTCTGGTTTGGCCTCTGCATGTGTTATGCGTGAAAGCAACAGGGAGACAGAAAGGACAGTCTTTTGGAGGAGGGGAGAAAATGTAACGAACATTATGTTGACAGGTGGAGGCAGAGGTGACATTTTCCTACAGCACACAGGCCTTTTCTCTTACAGTATTGACAAAGGGTTGAGTTAGAGAGTGGTCTGGCTGTCCGCCATCCTACTCGCCTCTGCAGCCGGGTCAAGGCCGGGAATGTAGCCACCTGAAGCCCTGCAGACATGACCAAAGCAGCAAACTGACACCGCAGCTGCTGCCTGGAGATTTTCCTCCCCAGACAAAGCCACCTGATCCCTAATTGGAGCCCAGACTGTGCACAGGAGACACTCAATAAAAGCTGCGAGAGCTCCTGCTGGGCAGGGAAGCCCCAGGGAGCGAGAGGCTCTTCCCAGAGCTCCTGCCTTTCTTTACACATGCACACAGGATTGTCTCATCGCACTTCAGCAACCCTGGGATGGTGCAGTCATTACCTCCTTCGTACATATGGGGAAACTGGGGGCTTGCTGCCAAAGACTTAACAAGCGGCCATGCCAGGATCTGAAGCCAGATCATCTGATTCTAGGGGGTGTGTCTTTAACTGCTATGTTCATCTGCCTTCCCAGGATCTCAGGAAATGTCTCCCAAATCCAGGACAGTCTGATTAGAAGTAGTGTGCCCTGTCCCTGCAGAACCCATTCACATGCTTTGTCAATTAATCCTCACATGATGTTCCCCAGACCCACCTCTGGGATCCAGATGGAGCACAAATCCCCTGCCCAGGTCTCTATCCAGATACTTGATTCTAAACCCATCCAGTCATCCTAGCTACAAATCCAGTGGAATGTCACTACAGCAATGGTGGGCAAGGACGACTCATGAGGGACACTTAGAGCAAATGCAAAGTCTTCCGAAGCTGCGTCATCAGAAGGCACATGCAGCCTTGCAGGGAAGCTCCTCACTAGCTCATCCCACCACAGGAGCAACTGCTGAAGTTCATCCTCACCTCCCCCTCACCACACCAGCACCAACAGAGGCACCTCATAATGTCACACAAAGACAACGTCCCTGTCTTCTTGTTCCTGCCACACTCCCTCCCTTACACATTTCTGTAATCCGTGGACCGGCTCCCTCCAATCTCCTCCCACTCCTCCCTCTCCCTGCCTATTTTCTATCTCCCTCTTCTCATTTTCCTCCCCTTCGCATCTTGATGTTTTTCTTTACCAGTGTATGCCTTGGGCTCAAACGACTTCTCTCCAAGTTTTTCATCTTTGCCCAATCTCTGGGCTGAGACTCAGGAAGCCAAAATGGAGAATCACTTTTCAGCAGTCTCCCAGTAATGCTGGGTGCCTGGAAATGCAGTGCCGTGGCACAGACCTGGCTCCTGCAGCTGGGCCCTCTTCACAGAAAGAGGCCCAGTGGATGCAGGGCAGCATAGGGGAGGGAGGGAAGGAGTACAGACACATCAGTGAGTCCTGGTGCCAGGGGGCCGTTTGGGGATGGTGCTGGTGCCCACTCATGCGCCCTCCCTTGGGTGCCTCCCACGGGGTCCATGTGTCCCCATCCTCACACATACCCCAGCTACCACTTTATACATCGACGCAGCCGCAAACAGCAAGGACCCTCACCGTTCCATCCTCCAGCAGGAGTCGCAGGACCTTGTCACCAACTATGTAGTCCGTGGCTATTTCAGCAGACTTCCAAACTTCTTCAGGATCGGGAATCCAGACCCTGTTGTACTGACCAACAGGATGAGAAAAGCTGAATTTCAGAACTTTCAAAAGCATGGATCAATGCATGGTTAGACGCAGGAAGGTTTCTTTCTGTCCACTAGGTCAGCTCCTTTATGAGGAATACGTCTACCCAATTTTGCTTATGAGGTGATCTTTCATGCATTTGCAACGCACTGGGCCTGGCTGTCTCAGTTTACAGGCAATGGAAATCCCAAAGCCTTCTAGATAAACCTTGAATGCTGAAAGCCTGGACGTGGGAAAGAAATCTGCGAGTACCTTAATGGACATATCTCATGGCTGTCTACAGGGTTAGAGGAGAGGGATTTCTTTTACCACTGATTGACTATGGAACTCTGGGCCAGACACTTAACAGTGCCTCATTTTTCTCATCCACAAAATCACCACAACAATATCTATTTCACAAGTTCCCTGGGAGGTTAAATTAGACTTCGTACTTGAAAGAACTTTGTAAAATGCTATGAAAGTATTGTTACAGCAATGCCATCACAATCTTATCACACCGGTGGGCTGCCAAGGACTCCCACAGTGGGAAATGCAGAAGTCCAGACACAGCCACCCAGCTCAATTCCCAGCAGGCAATGGGCACGCCTGGCTCAGTGCTGATGTACAAGTCTTTGGGTAGAACCATGTTGCTGTGGGCTGAACTGTGTGTCCCCCAAATTCATACGTTGAAGCCCTAACCCGCAATTGACTACATCTGGAGATAGGGTCTTCAGAAGGTAATTAAGGTTCAATGACGTCATGAGGGTAAGGCACTCACCCAACAGGATTTTCTTTTTTTGAGATGGATTTTCACTCTTATTGCCCAGGCTGTAGTGCAGTGGCATGAACCTGGCTCACTGCAACCTCTGCCTCCTGGGTTCAAGTGATTCTCCTGCCTCGGCCTCCTGAGTAGCTGGGATTACAGGCGCCCACCACCACGCCTGGCTAATTTTGTTTTTTTAGTAGAGACGGGGGTCTCACCATGTTGGTCAGGCTGGTCTCGAACTTCTGATCTCAAGTGATCCACCTGCCTCAGCCTCCCAAAGTGCTGGGATTACAGGCATGAGCCACCACGCCCAGTAGGATTTTAAAATTAGTGTCCTTATATAAGACACCTGAGAGTTTGATGTATTTTTCTACAATATGCATCTATTACTTTTATAATCAGAACAATAAATATTAATCTTTAAAGGCAAATATCAAAATACAAGCCCCCCCTCAAAGAATGGTACATTAAATTCTGTGATATGGGACATAGTAACTTCATTTATAATGGACAAAAATTGGAAACAGACTAAATGTCCATCAATGAGAATTTAAAAAAATGCCTGCAGTATACCCATACAATGAAATACAACTTACCCATAAAAAGGAATGAACTACTGATGCAAGCAAAAGCATGGGTGAGTCACTAAAGCACGCGGAGTTAAAGAAGCCTTACACAAATGAGTGCCTCCAATGTGAGTCCCTTCAAATTGAGAGGTGATAACAGGCTAGCAGCCCTCGCTCTCAGCGCCTCCTCGGCCTCAGAGTCCACCCTGGCGGAGCTTGAGGAGCCCTTCAGCCCACCACAGCACGGTGGGAGCCCCACTCTGGGCTAGCCCAGGCCGAAGCCGGCTCCCTCTGCTTGTAGGGCGGTGCGGAGGGAGAGGCACGGGCGGGAACCGCGGCTGCGCGCGGTGCTCGCGGGCCAGCGCCAGGTCCGGGAGGGCGTGGGCTCGGCAGACCCAGCACTCCGAGCGGCCAGCCGCAGGCCCGGGGCAGTGAGCGGCTTAGCACCCGGGCCAGCAGCTGCAGAGGGTGCCTCGGGTCCCCCAGCAGTGCCGGCCCGCCAGCGCTGCGCTCGAATGCTCGCAGGGCCTCAGCTCCCTCCCTGCCGGGCAGCGCTCCGGACCTGCAGCCCGCCATTCCTGACCCTCCCCTCCTCTGACCCTCCCCTCCTCCGCCCCTCCCCGAAGAGCGCCGCCCCCTGCGCCGCAGCTCCGGGTCCCATCAACAGCCCAAGGGCTGAGGAGTGCGGGCGCAGGGAGCGCGACTGGCAGGCAGCTCCGCCTGCAGCCCTGGTGCGGGATCCACTAGGTGAAGCCAGCTGGGCTCCTGGGTCTAGTGGGGACCTGGAGAACCTTTAGGTCTAGCTAAGGCATTGTAAATACACCAGTCAGCACCCTATGTCTAGCTACCCTAGTGGGGATTTGGAGAACTTTTCTAACACTCTGTGTCTAGCTAACGCATTGTAAATGCACCAATCAGCACTCTGTGTCTAGCTCAGGGATTGTAAATGCACCAGTCAGCACGCTGTCAAAAATGGACCAATCAGCTCTCTGTAAAATGAACCAATCAGCAGGATGTGGGTTGGGTCAGGTAACGGAATACAAGCAGGCTGCTGGGGCCAGTAGTGGCAACCTGCTTGGGTCCCCATCCATGCTGTGGAGGTTTTGTTCTTTTGCTCTTTGCAATAAGTCTTGCTGGTGCTCACTCTTTGGGGCTGCACTACCTTTATGAGCTGTAATACTCATAGCAAAGGTCTGCAGCTTCACTCCTGAAGCCAGCAAGACCATGAACCCACCAGGAGGAACAAACAACTCCAGACCCGCTGCCTTTAAGAGCTGTACCACTCACTGCTAAGGTTTGCTGCTTCGCTCCTGAAGCCAGAGAGACCACTAACCCACCAGAAGGAAAAAACTCTAAAGACGTCCGAACATCAGAAGGAACAAACTCCAGACACACCATCTTTAAGAACCGTAACACTCACTGTGAGGGTCTGCGGCTTCATTCTTGAAGTCAGTGAGACCAAGAACCCACCGATTGTGGACACAAAATCAGGTTCTGGAACAGCTAAAACTAATGCGTGCTGGGAAACAATTCACAGCAGTAGTTGCCTCTGAGGGTGGGTGGGGCCAGGGAGTGACTCCAAAGGTGTGTGAGGGGGTCTTCTGGGAGCGATGGTAACAATATCTATCTTGATGGGGCTTGGGTTACATAGGGGCTAAGCACTTTTCAAACCTAAGACAATGCAGACTTAAGATTGGTGCATCTCATTGTGTGTAAATTTTACACACGAAAAATACGGAACTCTAGTTAATACGCATACTGAAATATTTAGAAGGTGTGTTGATATATGACTTAAAGAAGCTTCAAAAAAGTGAGATGAATTGAAGGTCAGATAGAAGAACACAAAGATGGATAGACATGGGATACAATGAATATGGTAGACTGTCCACACCAGAATCCAGGTGGTAAAACAGGTGTTCACTATAATTTTTTTTTTTTTTTTAAGAGACAGGATCTAGTTTTGTGGCCCAGGCTGGAGTGCAGTGACATGATCACAGCTCACTGGAGCCTTGAACCCCTGGGTTCAAGTGATCCTCCTGTCTTAGCATCCCAAAGTGCTAAGATTACAGGTATAAACCATCGTGCCTGACCTGTAAAGTTATTTCAACATTGCATTATGCTTAAGATGTTCATATAAAAATGCCGGAGGAAATAAAGAATAAGAATAGAACAGCCTGGGCACGGTGGCTCACATCTGTAATCCCAGCACTTTGGGAGGCCGAGGTGGGTGGGTCACGTGAGGCCAGGAGTTGAGGACCAGCTTGGCCAAAATGGTTAAACCCCATCTCTACAAAAAATACAAATATCAGCTGGGTGTGGTGGTACGCACCTGTAATCCCAACTACTCAGGAGGCTGAGGCAGGAGAATCGCTTGAACCTAGGAGGTGGAGGTTGCAGTGAGCTGAGATCGCACCACTGCCCTCCAGTCTGGGAGGCAAGAGTGAAACTCCATCTCAAAAGAAAAAAAAAAAAGTTCACGGTACAAGTACTAGACTAGGACAATGTTGGATGAGGAACACATCTATTAATATAAATAGCCTTGCTTACTCAATAAAAAAGTCACTGGATGGATATCAATCGTGACTACCCCTAAATCATTGGAATTGCTTTAATCCTTAACAGCTAGCAAAAAGCAGGAGCTTGCAGAAATGTGACATGGATGTGTAAGTTTTGAGAGAGCGAGAATGGAAGAGCACTTTGGGAGGCCGAGGCGGGCAGATCACCTGAGATCGGGAGATCGAGACTAGCCTCACCAATATGGAGAAACCCCGTCTCTACTAAAAATACAAAAAAATTTAGCCAGGTGTGGTGGCAGGTGCCTGTAATCCCAGCTTCTTGGGAGGCTGAGGCAGGAGAATCGCTTGAACCCGGGAGGCAGAGGTTTCGGTGAGCCAAGATCATGCCATTGCACTCCAGCCTGGGCGACAAGAGTGAAACGCCATCTCAAAAAAAAAAAAAAAAAATGAAGTTGTGCGGCTGGCTAAGCGAAGCAGGCGAAAGTGGAGGTGTTCTGACGGAGCTGGAGCGGAGGGCCCTGGGGGCAATCCAAGGAAGCCTGGGCTCTGAGAAGTGATGTGAAAGTCACTAGGCCAGTCAATCCTTTTGTTTGACAGAGCCCCTACTTGAAGCCCAGAGAGAGCAATAACTCACCAAACAGCACACAGAGTCTCAAAGGACCAGGACTCCAGTGGAGCTAGGGCCTGTGACTCCTAGTTTGAACTCCTCGTTAATTAAACGAATCTGGCCCTGAAAGTAATCCTGAACTCTGAACTGCAGCCATCTACTTGAGAGTCCATGTGCTCTCCTAACTATAGTTTAGGATTGGTTTCAGCTAAAAGTGGTATTAAATGGCAGGTAATATTAGGACATACGTAACCACTGGCGGCTTCTCTTCTGAAGACCAGTGACTCCTCAGCCCAGTACCCCAGGCTGCCCACACCCTGCGATCCTGGTGCCTTTGCTGGCATTGAGTGCCCTTGCAGCTGAAACCCAGCCTGGTAAGTAAACACGGTGAGTTTACTCAGCTCCAGGTAAGTTCCACCCATTCATTCCCGTCCCCTCCTCCCTCACATTCCTCTACCCACAAAGCAATGCTTCAAACTGGAGGAAGACCTAACTTTACAGCATTCATTCAAATAGACACAGTCCACAGTCCATGCAAACAACGTAACCAGCTGTCAACTGACCTTCAGAATATGGGGCCTTCCCATGAGGCAGGAGCCTGCGGACTGGGATGGAATGGCTTGCCAAGCCCTTCAGCAGAGCCAAGAAAGAGAGGGCCACCTCCCACCTTCCCTGAGTGCCCTCCCATGCTAAGGCTCCAAGCTGAGGCAGAGGCTTGGGACCACTGAACCTTATGAGCTCAAGATCATGTCAGCCACCCCCCCAGGCACACAGGTGAGAAAAGAACAGCATCTTCTCACGCCGCCCACTTTTCTGAGGGATATTCTGGCATCAGCCACAGAAATGACTTGAAGACTTATATGGAAGATGGGACAAGATGGGACGACATGAGTTCCCCTCCTAGAACTGCTTTCTGGACTGAGAGTGTCCACACTCCAGGTCGGCCAGGCCAGATTGTCACACCATGCCCCTCTCTTCCTCCTCCTCTTCACTCACTCCTCACAGGCCCCTTCCCTGGTTCCCCTGCCCCTCCCACTCCCCCCATGTCCGTGTCTCCCAAGGTCCTTCCAGCCTCTTCTCATGATGGGCTGTTTCTGGAGAGTTCCACCCAATTCCAGACCTTCTGCAACCACCTGGCACCTGTGCATCTGAGACCTCCCACCCAGATCGTGCACTGGAGCTCTACACCACATTTCCAATTGCCTCCAAGATGTCAGCCCCTAAATCTCGAAGACTCATAAATTCCAAACTCCAGTGATGCAGACGCTCCTCCTTCCTAGCTCTCTTGCCCCTCATGTCAGAAGCCTGGGACAGTGCTGGATGCCCCCCGTGTCTCCACCCCAACAGCCCAACGGTCACCAGGTGCTGGAAAAGACTGCCTTTTAAAAGCTCTCTC